AAATACTGTCAATTCACTAAGCCACTGCAGGCCCGATCTAGTCTATTCACTAGCCAGATCGGGCCCATGGCCCACAGGTTGCTGACCTCTGCTCTAGATGAGTAAGTAGTTCAAATAATAATAGGGAAAGTAATAGTACGGCAAGTTGATTGCCCTTAAATAATACAGGACAGAAGAAATGACTTGTTTAGAGCAAGCAAGTAAAAAGGATTGCTGCACCAGAGTTCAGACTGGAAATTTACTTAAGAATATTTGGCAAAGATGAACAGTGATAGATTTTCACATGTTCTTGTGCCAGATTTAAAATGTTCTACATCCTTCATAGCTGGCAGCAAGTGACATGTTTGAGCATCCAGTTGCATCATAACACAAAACCAGCAGTGACAGTTATATTACAATCTACTCTGGACATTCCCAAAATGAATTTAAATTCTGGAAGCCACAGCACTTCAGCAGAACATGAACTTTCTTAGCTCAATTTAAGAACTCAAAGTTTGAGCCACTTAGATAAGAGTTTAATGTTAGTATTTTTAGGCCACTGCTTAGGTCACCATTCCATATGCTCTATTTATGTTGGAGGACAAAAATAATTAATTAAAAGTAAACAATAAATTAAAATAAAAAAACAAAAAAATGAGACCTTAACTCCTTTACACTGCTTACCCACCTGTGTCCTGTTAAACTCTCCCAAAAAGTGATGATTCCATCAGTTCCACAAGTCATTACCCATGTGTGAGGGACTGCTTTTGCTTTTGTTCCTACACAAACAAAGGCTTCTAATCCATAACCAAGGAGAAGGCTACATAAAAGGTTAGCATGATCTTCACAGTCACCCTAGAAAGTGAACATATTAATTAAATAACTAGTTTATTCATAACATGTAGGAAGATAAGGCTTTCAATCGCGATTTAACAGATAATTGTTTAATTATTTTTAAAGAGCTATATTTATAGGATAGTTACTGAGGTGGGGCCAGGAGATGTACTGACCTGTATCTTCTCAGGGAAGAATATAAAAGTGGCCAATCAGGTTCATTTGTAATATGGATACCTGGCCACCAAGTCTAGACTGAGGACCACACCCTCAGCTCATTTAATAGACACACTTTTATAAAAAATGTCTGTACTGTTCGAGCCCCCAAGACCTGGAATAGATTCCCTCCAGATGTGGCATAGGCACCTACTCTGGACTTATTCAAGAAATGCTTGGATGCTTGTCTTGCTGGGGTCCTTTGACCCTAGCTGACTTCCTGCCCCTGGGGCAGGGGGCTGGACTTGATGATCTTCGAGGTCCCTTCCAGCCCTAACGTCTATGAAACCTATGAAATAGATAGAGACAGAAGACAGATGGTTGGGATCCACCTGACAGTTTTTATTTTTCTATGATGGGTAGTTTCCTTTCCTTCTAGTCAAGGTATGCTGTAAATTTAAGTTTAATTTAAATTTTACATGATTTTAAAGCAGACATCTTTCTCAATTTATGAGAAAATCCTCATTTATTTCTTGATTCACATTCTGGTTATGAATACTGATGAGGATTTCTGTTTATATTATTTTGGAAACACTTTAAAAAACAAAATACAATCTGCAACATCAGGAGCCTTCAGGAGTACTTCAAAATATATACATTAAATACAGGCAAATATCTGATGAAAATATAACAAATTATGTTACTGTTTCATATAGCAAAGCTAATAATTAAGGGTATCTACAGTTTACAAAACAGAAATCAAAAACAGTTTCAAATTTAAATTTCCAAGCATTTTTTGACAATAACATCCTTAAACAACTAACTTATGTTACTTGCATACATGTAGGAAGCAGACATCATTGGGTAGTCTGACTTCTTTTTCTTTCTTTCATATTATGCACTTTCCATTGAAAAACAGAAAATATTGTTATCGTCCATATTGTAGTAGAGTAGGAGTTCTGTAGCCATGACAGTCCAGGGAATACACAAGAAAAAAAGTCTGTAACCCTCTGGCTAACATAAAACAATGGCTTGTGCACTTAGAATGGTGTACCTGGTATTTAGGCTTAAGATGATCCTGCTTCTTTGTCACACGGGAGGAAAGGTACTTTGTGCCCAAAAGCTTGTCTAACATCTCTCTTCCAACTATACCGGGGCAGGCAAAGTTCGGCCAACAGGCCAGATCCGGCCAGCAGTGGACTCCATTTCCCAGCAGCCCTTGCTCACGTGGCTGGTCTGGTTTCCATGGAGACCCCAGCAGCAGCCACACAGGGCCAGCCCCATAAAGACTGGCAGGCAGCAGCAGTGCCAGCCTCTTCCTGGTGAGGGGGCTGTGCTGCAGGCAGGAGCAGGGTAGGCTCAGCTGCTGCCGCCTGTTCGTGGTAGGCACTGGCGCTGCTGGGACGGGTGGCTACGGGGAATTTTGGGGTGGCTACTGCCCCCTCGAGCCTCCCACTAGCACCGTCTCTGCTGGCAGGGTGGGGAGCTGCTCCAGAGCCAGCCTGGGATCTTGCGGCAGTGACAGCATGGTCCAGAGCTGGGACAAAGCTGTGCTCTGCAGCCTGCATGCCCAGTGGATCGCAGCTCTGCCCCAGCTCCACTGCAAGATCTGAACTGGGCTCACAGCAGCTCTGTGCCCTGCCAAGCACACTGCCAGTGCTGCTGGGGCTTGTCTCCATGGAAACCCCAGCCTCACACTATCAGTGTGGCTGCTGTTGAGGGTCTCCATGGAAACTGGCCCCAGACACGCAGGTAGGGGCTGCTGGAAAATGGGAGTCTGGCCTCCAGCCAGATCTGCCATTTTGCCCATCCCTGACCTATATAGTTGGTCCAATAAAAAAGTTATTACCAAAGAAACCTTACTTCTTGCATATTTCCTGGAACACCAGAGGTACAATAACATTCCTATCTCATTGTAGCATTTGAGGATTATATAAGAGAATACATGTATTTATATTTAATGATAGACGAAATACAGCATATATAATCCATGACAACTGTACAGTGCCTATTAGTCCAATTTCTGTATAAAACAAATTAAATGAAAAAAGATTTTTCAACATATACCACTTGCATACATTTGTCTGTATTGTCTTACATAAAACTAGGCCATTATACCTTGCTTCTACATAGAAAAGCGAGAAGGGTGCACCACTGTTCTTGTTTACCACTTCCGCCTCCAATGACAGGAGCTCTTTCATAACCGAGGACACTGACAAATCTTGCAGCTTGTCTAGGTGTGTCCAGCAATCGGCCTGCTCGAAGTGGCCTGATATAAGAACATACTGGGTGGTTTATCCCGTTTTCATCCTAAACATTAAAATATTGTGACGAATGATAAGTAACCAAAGTTCCCAATAAAAGAAAAACACCTTTATTCTTTTTGGGGGGATCAATGACTCCACTGCAAGAAGTAAACTGTGCAACTGACCTAGAACTTTTACTTAAAAGACTATGCAAAGCACATTCTTTACCATTGCTTTTGTCTCATTTTAAACCCTTTTTAGAAAGAAAGTAAAATAGAAGATAAAAGCAAATTAAATTAATTTGATAAAAATTAGCAGGCTATTAGTCTCCAAATCCGTGGAGCAGATATCAAATACTTGCTATCCTAGCTTCAACTCTTTTCTGTCCTACTGACTAAAACAAGTTCAGTCTCCATGCTCAGTCAATCCCTGACCAATCCAAGACTGGTAACAAGGGTGCCAATTGCAACACTAGTTTTTGAGAGCAATTTTTATTTATTTATTTTTTAACAAAAAGTGCATTCATGGAAGTTTCTGGGAGAAACATAAATGAAAAATAAATTGTTCAAACTTCTCACTATAGCAATATAGGTGAACAAAAATGGAAAAAAATTAAGAGACCAAGAACACTAGTCAACTGTTATTATTATTATAATTATAAATTTTAGCTTTCATGTAGACCATGACCAGCCCATATTAAAGACCTAGAGAACAGCTATGAGAGCAGTAAACTTTTAGGATACTACAGAATAGAGCTAGATTTAACCTACTCCAAGTCTGTATTCTACTTCCAAAGCATTTCAATGTATAAACTTAACAGTGATCTATATTGATTGACAACTGAGTTAAACCAAATTAAGTAGATAATATTAATCCTTAGAATTTCCTCAAATTTTCCAATAAACAGAATTGGAAGAAATTTCTGATCCTATCATTTTGTTTTTCTGCAAGAGAATGCCAGTCTCTTCTAAGTTTTTAAAGTTGTTCCAGGTAACAATATTTCAGCTATAACACAGACAAATAAAGCCATCCGTAACTTATTAAAAAACAACCACCACCACCAAAACACTATAAGACCTCCTATAATAACTCTACAAGTCCTCGACTTGGTACCTAATTTACAGAATATCTATTTTAAGAATATTTTAACAGGTTAGAGATTTTTGTTTGTTTTTTTTAAAGCTGTGCAGTTTTAGGATTATGCAGCTGCAAAGTTTTTATGTTCTGAAAAAGCTGTCAGTTACTAAGCACCCAAAACTGCCTGTTTTAGGCTGTCAATTGCAATTTTGCAGAAGCTGAAGAATGGAGAAGGGAGAGAATATTACATTTGGGTGGGAAAGGAGAAAATGTGTCTCTAACAAATTAAGTCAGCTTAAGAAAAGCAACGGCTGTTTGAAATGGACTGGACTCATGAAGGAAATGAATTACAAGAGATCACAATTATTATTCGCACACATGCTTTTATGTCATGTAGAGCTGGACGGCTATGGACATGTATAGACATTAATTTCTAAGGCATTCTTACCAGTAGAAAGATCAGGCCAGGAGCTGGAATGTACACAGGGGAGCTCTCCAGCCAGGATGCACAGGAGGGCTGCTCCTTGGGCCACCCCTGCCCTGAGGGGAACCCATTATTTGAAATCCTAGCCTCCTCCCTTCCCAGGTAGGGGACAGGACATCAATAGGCAGGCCCCTCCCTTTTACATTGCCTTGCGTATCACATAGATAGCTTCCCTGGACCCGCATTCTAGCACCCTGGCTCTTAAATTACTGTGTGTGCTGCCCAGCTAAGCGATACATGCAGCATTTAAAGCCTGAAGGGCTATGGACCAGGGTGCGGGATAGCTTCCTAATACCCATTTCCTGTTCCCCAGGGCTTGGCAATTCGCACTCCTACCACCCAGCTGGAACACATGAACACTTGCATAAAAACAGTAAACTCTATTTGTAGTCTATATACATAACTAAAAACACCTTGTAGTTGTAAACAGGTGGTCCAAATTTTTTAGCTGAATTTACAAACCTGTGCAAAAATCTTTACCAGCCTTGTGTTATGTGAAGACCTGATCTGCAGGTATTCTCTCCACCACTGTTTAGCATACACAAGAAATAAACGTTCTTTTTCTGCTGTTTTCTGGCGTTCTAAAGCAAACTGCAATTAAAAAATATTTATTTTCTTTTAATATTCTTGGTAGAGATGCTAGAAGACTCTACCCTGTTAATACTGCCCCCCCACCCCATTTTTCTTTAAGAGGTGGCATTAACTCCCAAAGTTCTTTAAAAAAAATCTTAATATTTAAAACAGTCCTGCAAGTGCTGCAAGGTAATCTTATTTAGGATCAGGAAATAAAATGGGAAATATTTTCTAGTACTTAATGAAAAAACACATTGTTTGGTTTCTTTTTTGAAGACTAATACACCAAAAGTTCCACTAGATTTGTCTTCATAACCAAAATTGACTGCATAAACCTGGGTTTTTTTTTTCTTTTTTTTAAAGAACAAATGTGCAATCAAACCTGTGTGGGCCTTTATGCCAGTACTTATCAGGCTAGTTGCTTTTGTGATTACATAGATTTTCAGTAGGAAGCAATGATGTAGTAAGATATATATCTAACATGTAACATGTATATTATCTTAAGAAAAAGAAATGCCGTGAAACAGCTTTACATTTTTGCTTGGCAGCGTTATGACTCATAAGAAAATTACTGCAACAACACTATTTTCTCACATACAACACACATCTTTCCCCTACAAAATCAGTCCCCCAAAACTGGGTTGAGTGTATTAAGCAGGGCAGCTGATTTTCTGTTTAGGATATAAGCCCTGCTTTAATTCTTGCTCGATAGTGCAGCAGCCGTTGCTAAGTATTAAGGCAGCTGAGGGAGTCTGTTGACTAGTTCTTCCCTCCACAGTTGTTATTGATCATTTCTCCTTTTAATGGTCTTGATATTCCACTAATCAAGTTAACATTTTAGGCTTAATCTGCTGTCTGCTAGCTGGTCCTGGTCTCTCACCTCCTGTTTCACAGCCCTGGAGACTTTTTAGCTCAGAGGAGGGCAAAATGGTGGATCTGGCCTGTGATCAGACTCCATTTCCCAGCAGCCCCTGCCAGCATCACTTTGTCGGTTTCCATGGAGACCCCAGCAGCAGCTGTGACAATGCAGGGGCCAGGGTTTCCATGAAGACTGGCCCCAGCAGTACTAGCAGGGCACACAGCTGGGCAGAGAGCTGCTCTGGGGCCAGGATCTTGTGGCAGTGACAGCATGGTCTGGAGCCAGGGCAGACCCATGATCCACTGCCTGCACACCCCTATACATCATCTTTCAACATGAATACTCTAGGGCAATTTATATTCTTCTCTGGCATTGCATTTTTAAACAACTACTTGTAAACAGGAAGGTGAATTTAAAAAACACCATAAATACCCCCTCTGCTCCAGAACACAATGGGTATAAATTAGAAATTACTTACCTGAGTATTAATTATTTCCTGGGACAGTATCTTATTCAGCTGTGGATACATTTCAAGTCTGATGTTTAAGACTCCAACAGAAACTTTTGATTCTGTACCTTTGAAGCACAATATTAATCAGTCCACTGAGAATTCTAGGGTCATTTAACACCACCCGTCCTACCCCCACCACCCAGCTAGCTGAGAACTAACACACAGAAATATTCCCTGCATTCCCCCCCGCATTGTGTCACATTCAAGGTTAAAAAAAGAAGAAATGCATGCTTCCTATATGCCGAATAATGAGACAAAAGGTTGAAGTTTTGTGTGCCTGTTATTTGTATTGCAGAAACACTGTGAAACCCCAATTGAAGTTCAGAGACCCATTACACTAGATGTACAAACAGAATGAAAAAGAACTACTGCCTAAGAGAGCTCACAATTTAGAAGTACAATCTGATAAAATATCTAGAACAAACAAACAGAAAAATGCAGAGAAGAGTGTAAGAGATGCCAGTGGAAAGTAAAATATAATTTAGCTGTGTCAAATGGTAGTATCTACAAAATAAATCAAGTGCATCCAAGCAGCATAAAAATTAGCAGCTTTACTGATTTCAACACTTAATTAAAACAACAAAACATCTACTAAAATAACTACAAGACTGAAACACATTTTTTGATATAACATGCAGTCCCATATAATACAAAGGAAATGAAAACGTAGTCTTTTATGTAGCAATCCTATGCCAATCCAGTTTTATTTTAAAACACTTAGGGAAAATGTTAGCATCATGTTTTTTTTAATTTAATTAAAAACACAGAACTTTATGGAAGTGATAAAAACAACAGGAGGATGGACTACTTTCCCTTCAACTAGATTCTAGGTTTTACTCACTGGAGTTTTCACTACATGAGCAGTGCTCAACCTCTGGCTCACGACCCCATGTCATCTGGTCCATGGAGCTCCACACAGATCTGGAAACTTAGTGGCAGGAGAGTGGTGGCACTGCTCCCTCACCACCAAATTTCAGGACACGTGAAGAGCCCCAGGCCCTGCACATTGGATTGGGTGCTCAATCCCACTGAGCAGGGTCAGGTGAAAGCAGCACCAGGCTCCAGGACCCAATCATGGCACACAGGTGTCTGGGAGGGAGTGGTGCCAAGCACCTGGGACCAAATCCCAATGTTCAGGGATACACCCCCAGGGACCAATCCTTTACAATATATATTGAGTTCTCTGGTAGAGCTAGGACTGAAAATCATGGACTTTTCCCTCCTGGGTCTGTGCCTGGTTAGACTAAAGAGCCTTGAAGAATTCACCCATCACCTCTGTAGCACCCAAAAGGGTACAGGGCAAAGAGAAAGGAGAAAGGTCTGTGATGGGAGTTAGAACCTCAGATGCATCACACACCAACTAGCAGGAGGCTGATATAGAACAGAAAGCCCCTTATTTAGGGTTCAAGGACAGCAACCTGCTAGAAATCCAGCACATTCCTCTTCAAAAGAAAGCCAAAAATGGACTTTTCAGTAAAGCACTAGCCAGAGACCCCTTCTGTTGATAGAACACTTCATCTTTTGGAGCTCTGTATTTCTGGCAGCTTACAAGACAGAACAGTTATGAACGGGAAATTCCACTTCCCATTCATCACAGAAAAGAATTTGGAATTCAATTTTTGGTGTCTGCCTAAAGAAGATCCGATCATGGATTTCATGGAATTTACTAATAAACATATGACAAGGAAATATTATGGTAAAGTCATGATGGATAGTGTAAATCTTGGTATTGCCATTATAACTTTAATGTTAAATCTTACCTACACCCAGGAGTTCTACCGCAATATTTGTTATTCTGTTCTCTGCAACAAGGACAGATCGCCACTCCAAGAAGTAGGATGCTACGAGTGATGTCTCACCAAACATGTCTGTTTTGATCAGGACCATATGCACTGGATCACATATAGATAACATAGTGGTTGCATCCATCATCTTACTTCCATCACCTGCCATTTTAGAAAAATAAAAACCAACAGCAAGAATGCTGTAATTAGGATAATACAGTGATATAATTATTTTTACAAGCTTGCATTTAAATTGCCTCAGAGAGAACATGCCATTAAACCCCTCAATGTTTTTTTAATTTTGCATGAGCCATATTTACTCAATTCCAAGACAAGGTTTTCCCCTATACAACCTGGGAAAAATGAAATATTCAATTCTAAGATGAGGTTAAGTAAAAATGCAATACCTGCAGGCAACGCTGAGCCCTGCATTAATCCCTAGTTCCATGTTAATTCCCTACCCATGGCTCTAGCTCCGTCTTGGATTCTACTGCTTCCTGGCTCAGTGCACAGCCAGAAAGCAGCATCAGACCCAGTGCTGATTCCCTCACCACTGTCTGGCTGTATGCTGGGACCTGTGCTGCTTCCTGGCTCCACATCAATTCTCCTACTGCTTCACTGCTCAGTAGGGAGCCAGGGAGCAGCACACGACCCAGGAAGGAACCAGAGAGTGACAAGGGAATCAGTACAGACCCAGGAAGCAGCAGGACCCCATGTGAAGTCAGAGAGCAGAAAGGGTATGAGCACTGAGACCTGTGCTGCTTTCTGGCTCCATGCTGAGCCAGGGAGCAGCAAGAGTCTCAGTGCAGAGCCAGGGATCAGCGCAGAACCCAGCATGCAGCCAGAGGGGCAAGGGACCCAGTATAGCGCCAGGCGGCACTTGCCTCCCCACCACTTGCCTTCCTGCTGCTGCTTTCCAATAATTAGATTCCATCTATGGAACATTATGGGAAAATGTATACTTTTCCATGTGCAGAATCTAATTTGGGGGGGGATCATCTTAAATTTGAAGTCATCAGGGATTCAGGTCAATACAGTATTTAGAAGCAGTCAGGTCTGGCCATTCTTAAGAGACACAGAGCATATGTACAAAGGGCTCAGAGACAGATAATAATTAAATCATGGAAAGACATGCACATGAGTAAAGAATGAAGAGACTAAGAGTTCTGTATACAAAGACCACAAATGGGAACAGACAAGATACATAGACAGAGAAAATGAATACAGTATTTGACAGAAAATAAAGTTCAGACACACCATATTTGGCCATTCAAATAATACAAAAACAAGGATATAATCAAATGTTTCTGTTTTCATTATTTTATCTTACCACAGCAAGAACCCACTGCTTCAAGTCATATTTGAAGAAAGAGCTTAGTAGTATTGGAATATTAGACACTTAGAATGAACTTTAACTATTTTTTAGCTTTTTTTTTTTTAAAGTAGCAAGCCATTATGCATCCACTCACAAACCAGCTCCTAAATGCTAAAGATTAGGAGACATGGTTCTCTATTAAGTTATTCCACTCTCTCAGGAAGTTTCTAATATCACCTACTGAAACATTTGGTAATAAAACAGATGAACCAGTTCTCTGATTTAATATAAAAAATTTGCATTATTACATTTACTATATGTCTCTGTATGTTTACAGAACCTTCATCTATTGCTTCACCATGACAGACCATGTCATTCACTGTATTTGCACCTAACAATATGACTATTTAATATTTTCCATTAGAAAATGGAATATGTCCTCCCTGAACAATATGATAGTCTTTTTGGGCTTAAAACATGCAGACAAGGCACAGAACTATCCCCGCATGCCTTTAGTCTATTCATATCTTATTTAACTGGGGTGCCAAATTCATCTGACCCAAGAGTGTCTGGGCCAGTCTATGGTACAGGCCAGGCAGTGAGTCAGCCAGCTTACAAATTCAGTCCAGCAAGGCACCATATATAGTGAGCTCCCTGTGCTTGCCCCCAATGTCACAGGCAGTACACACTGGCCCTGGTGCTACTTTCAGTGGCTGTGGCCCAAGGAGCTGGCACAAGGTACATGCTGCATGAGGCTCCCTGCTGAATTGCACAGGCAAGTTGGCTTCAGGGCCAGTCCAGGCTGTGCCACAGTCAGCATGCAGGACTGGTCTTGCAGGCTCCAGCATGCAGCACACAACCTTTGCTGGTCCCTATTGCCTCAGGCAGCTCCCTCAGCACCAGGTCCAGTCCACATGCCACAGGAAGCATAAGCCCAGTGCACACTACACACAGAGCACAGGACGGACCCAGCACCACAGGCATTGCACATGGCATGCAGCACCCTGCCAGACCATTTCTTAGCAATGGCTCCAGGGCCAGCCCACATGGGGCCCCAGGCCATCTGTGCACACCAGAGCCAGCACACAGGGCTGGTCCAGCAGGGTGCTGCATACAGTCTGTGTCATGTGCCAGCCCCCATGCCACATGCGGTGCACACAGTGCCCTGCAGTGTGCTGGCTGGTTTCAGTACAAGCCCTAGAGTGGGGCCAGTCTATGCTGCATGTGGCACAGGGAGCCTGCATAGGGTGCACACTACATGCAGCACTCCACTGGACTGGTCTTGTGCACTGGTTCTGGCACAGACCAAACCCGGAGCAGCCCTAGAATCAGCATGCAGGGTTGTTTCAAGCACAGGCGCTTGCAAGCAGAGCGCACCCCAGATCAGCACCCTGTGCCGTAAGCAGTACCCATGGTACCTGGATCAGCCCATGGGCCAAACCAGCTCCATATGCTGCACAGGGTATGCAGAGTCAGTCTGAGACACACAGGCCATATCATATGGCTCTACAAGCCAGATCCAGCCTGCATGTTTGACATTCCCTCTTATATAAGATTAGAGGAAAAATATTATTTCTGAGATTTTCAAAAGTGTAAAATCTTGTCCATTAAATTCCTTTTACAGCCTACATGTATTTGTGCTGCCTAAATCACCACATTCTTTCTGTACTCATAAGTGCAAGAAATCAGCATATGACACTGCTGTACCAAAAGCTACTGCCAAGGACACACATGAAAGTGGCTACCACTTGTATAGACAAGCTAATATAAATTATGGACACTGACAACCTCAAAAATAATCTAATGTCTACATTTTCTAATCCTGAAAGGACAAACATATGTGGAAAATTACTGTAAAAGTCTAACTTTTCCAAATAAAAATCACAATAATATCAATATAGTTTTGAAAAATTATTACATCGGAGAGCAGTAACTTTCACTTGCATAAGCCAGTTATCTATAATATCAGCATCTCAAAAAAGCTCTGCAAGGTAAGCACAACATCTGGCACTTATTTTTAAGCTTAGAGTTTTCCTTACCTAGGCTATCCTTGTGCACTTCAAGTAAAAAACCATCATGAAAGTCTGGTTCACAGGCACACGGGACAGGCTTAGAACGGAACCGTTGGTTTCGAAAAAGTAAATACAGAGTGAAGGTAGAACACGTTTGGCCAGGCAAGGGTTCAGGTTCTTGTAGATGTTCCAGAAAAGCTTTTCCACCCAAAACCTGAAGGTAAAGATACCTCCGTGTTGGGTCAATATTAGCTGCAAAGTGTAGCAATAAACGTGAAGAAACTGCTAACAGGTCTTAAGAAATGTTTTCAAATCATCGCTCAACTAATAAAAGATCAAAACAAGAAAATCTCCCCCCAAAGGTGCTTCAAAGAATCCATAAAAATGTATATTAAAGAAATGCGGCAAATGTATGATAAATATTGAGGGTTTCTGCTGTTTGCCTACTGGCACTGTTCTGCTGTTTACGCTCTTCTATTTAATCCAAATAAACAGGAAAACATCTCATCTTCTGAAGCTTATATACACTCTGAATACACATTAGAAATTTAGTAATTAAACAATATTCTGTAACTAAATTTTCAGATCTCACAGAACTATGATCCAAATACTAAAATTTACGAAAACATACTTTTCTTCAGTACTGGCGGCTGTCTGTCAACAAAATGGGTAGATGGCTTGGGATCTAAGGTCACTTCTTGGTTATTCATATCCTGGAACGATAGTTAAACATTTTTAAGGAGCCAAGTTAAGAAACGTTACTTCTTAAAGATCCTTGGCAGTTTCCGAAACCTGAAAATCCCACACTTCTCTGCCATCCTACCACACAATGTTTCAACCACCACTCTTCCAGTAATTGGACTTACTAGTTCAGCATTGACTTTACAATAAAAGTTAAACTAATTTGTAGAGGTGCACCGATACATTGGTCCAATATCAGATCAGCACTGATATAAAGAAAATTGGAAATCAGCCTTAAGTGGCTAATAATTGCTCGTGTGTGTGCACAGCTGCAGCACAGCATGCAGGCAGTGAGCAGCATGAGCCCAACAGCTTGGACAGCTGCATCCAGCTGTTAAATCTGGTGTGGTGGAAAGGGAGGGAGGAGGGAAGTGGCATGGGTGGGCAGACCTATGGCCCCTGAGGTGAAGGAGTGTAGACCTACACGCTCTCAGGTGAGGGTAGGTGCCGCCCAGCCGGGGTGAGCATGGGACAGAGCCGTGGTTCATCCAGAGGTGCGGGGGGAGGGGCCAGCTTCCACTGCTGTGCACCACTCATCCGGCAGCTCATTCCATCACTGCTTCAACTGCTCAGCCCCAGCTCGCAGCTGCAGCCCACCCTGCCCTGCGCAGATCGGGGGGCACACTCACAAGTCACCCGCCACCCCAAGCAGCAGGAGCCACTGGATGAACTGCTGGATGAGCAGTGTACAGCAGTGGGAGCCACGCCCCCCCCCCTCCCCGGATGAGCTGCAGCTCAGTACCGTGCCTGCCACATGCCTATCCCAGCCACAGCCCCACTCCTTCCCTCACCATGGGGGGTGTTGATCTGCCCCCCTCTCCCCGCTTTTCATCACAGACTTACCAGCTGGACTCAACTACACCAGAAATCGGATCGGTAACGGCCAATATGCCTCCTTAAAAATTGGCTATCTGTATTGGCCCCCAAAATGTCTAATTGGTACATCTCTACTAATTTGTCAACAATATACCAGAAATCAATAAAGCCAACATAAACGACACTGGGTGAAATGAGTTTTCACTGCCTATTGAAAGAATTTTAACAATGCCAAGATGAACAAAGTATAAATATTTCCCTTTTCAAAATGTACTCACAGTTACAACTTTAAGTTCTTTCATAACATCATCAATGATTCCTCTTCGTCTCAGAGCTTTCATCAGATCATCTGTGGATAACTGCTGATGCTCGGGCGCTATCTCGTCACGTATAGTCTCAGCAAGAACTTCTCGGATCCTTCCATGGACGTCCATCTAGAAGAGAAAAACTTCTATGACCTGCTGTCCAAAGCTTGTTAGGATAGCATTATAGCATTCCTACATTAATCAAATAAGTTATAACCCTCAATGACCATCTAATACCATAGAGCAGTGGTGCTCAACCTTTTTGACCAGTTGGCTGGCTGGGTAGAGCCTTGTTTATCTGTGGGCCAGATGCCCACCCAATCTAGGATGAATGCAGTCAGGCCCCATCCAGTCACGCAGGGGAGGAGTCCAGCCCTTGAAGGGGAGAAAGAGGGCTTGCCCGGATGCAGCCCCATGGGGGGGAAACGGGGTGCAGCTGAGCCCTAATGCACATCTGCAGGGTTTGGGAATTTGGCAGTAATGGAGGGTGGCCGTGCTCCCCTGCCACCCAAATTCCTGACCAGCGGGGAGCCCCACAGGCCGAATACCATGGCTGCCTAGACTGCAGGTTGAGCACCCCTGTTCTCAAGCTACATGGTTCAAAGAGGCATGCTGGGAGATTAAAAACATTAAAACCCCCTAAGAATAAACTGCAGTGAAACAGGAATGCAGCAAAAATGAAGGATCCGCTGTCACAAATGTAGAAGGAATTGGTCCTTGCTGCTTTCCTGGTGCAGAGGAAACCAGAGTAGCCCCATCCGTTACACAGGCCAGGGCCTTGCTGTTACCTTTAACATCCTTATCAAGTGGAAGGTAGAAGGAAGCTCATCTGGCAGCAGGTGCACAGCCAAAACCACTCATACCACCAAAAATAAACAAAACACTCAATGGAGCGCATACTGAGAACACCTCGGAGAAGCAGGACTCTGGCTACCTTGCCTGAGGCAGGCAAGGATGCTAGGCCTACTGTGCTGTGCCAGGGCTGAGGGCATCCTCCTGTGGGGTTTAGATGATGGTTTGTACAGGTCAGTTTGGATAGGGAGTGGCCTGCCTTAGGTTGGGGCTGCACTAGGACCTCTGGAGGCCCTTGCCAGCCCTACAAGCGCTTTGAAGGAGGCCGGACGGTGCAGGTGGCCAGAGGGATCCTTGCTCTGGCTCTTCACGGGCTCCTCCACGTGGCCCCTCTGCTTCCAACAGCTCAGGCACAGCTGCCCACCACCTCGTGGGGCCTGAGACAAGAGTGCAGCGTGGCCAAGCATACAATAATTATTGTATTCGTACAATAGTTTCAACCCTTCTGTGACAGAACGATCTGTAATAGTAAAAGTGTTCAAAACATACAACTATTTTTGGGGCAGCTCGTTGATGCAGCACGTGCAAAACCCAAGTCGCTCCCAGAGAGTCTTAACTGACTTTTGGGTTTGCCGCCAGCATTTTCTTACAACTGCTTGCCTCGAAATAAAGAAATGCTTCCACTTGGATGACCTAGGTCTTGCTCACTCACTCACCCACTGGCACCTTATAGCAAGTAATAGAAAATAAATAATAATAAGAAATATTTGCATCTATTTCCGTGTACGATAGCTTTTCAGCAAATACGATCGTTTCGAGGGCACATGGACCAGCAAATACGATCATTTGGAGGGCGCCTGGACCACTTCAGCCTCCGCAAGAGAAGGTTGAGAGGCCACTTGTGGCTTATCATGGGGGTGCAGAAAGGAATTGGTGAGGCTTTACTCACCAAGGCACCCCTGGGGGTTACAAGAAATAATGGCCATAAGCTAGCAGACAGCAGATTTAGACTAGACATTAGGAAGAACTTCTTCACAGTCAGTGTGGCCAAAATCAGGAATGGGCTCCCAGGGGAGGTAGTGCTCTCCCCTACTCTGGGGGTCTTCAAGAGGAGATTAGATAGGCATCTGGCTGGGGTCATCTGAACCCAGCACACTTTCCTGCCCAGGGCAGGGGGTCAGACTCGATGATCTATTGAGGTCCCTTCCAACCCTAACATCTATGAATCTATGAGCTTGCAATACGATTATTTCACATTTAGGTGCCGGGAGCGCGTTCAGAGCCAACCGGGACCTGCAGCCCCGCGCCCCCGCCGCCCGCACCCCCAGGGCACCTTGGCGAGCTGCTGCCGGATGATCTGCTTCATCTCCGAAGCCTTGTCCGGCGGCAAAGCCATAGCATAACCCCGCAGCCGCCGCGACTGAGCCCTCCCCTCCCCCGCGCGGCCACACCCCCTGCAAGCCCCCAACCGCCGTCTCCAACGGCCCAGCCACGGCGGGCCGCTGGCCCCCCCGCTGCCCCACCGG